GCTTCAGTGTGTTACATCTACTGTATTTCTTCTCATCAGTGAATCCAATCTGCTGTGAGAAAGTTTTACTGTCTGAGTCCTTCTGAGCTAATTGAGACATTGCCAAACAATTAAGATAACCAGATGTGTCTGTTATTTGTAATTACCTGAACATGATTTCCTTTCTGCAAGAACCGTTCCATTTTTGAGCTTTTTGAACACTTCCAGATAATGGCTAGGAAGATTGAATCCTCTGAAATGTAATCTGTTGTATGTGCCTACCGTGCCTCGTTCTGATGTGAAATCTCCTACTCCCATATTTAAATATTAAAGTTGAAAACTTATTTGCAAAGAAGAAATTTCTTAAATTTGCTGTATTTACAATTCATCATGTCCACTGACCTTTCAGACATCACAGGGAGCAATGTATGTCAAATTTGTTAAGTAGAAGATATCAAAATAATTTATCCGAAGAGTAAGGATTGTTGAAAGAACTACAATTAATTTCACTCACTGTTTTATTAGGTAACACCATTAGTTAAAACAAAAGGATTTTCTAGACCTCTGCATTTCCACCTGATGCTTTTGCAACAAACCATTTGGCTTTCACAATAACAGATATCCCAAGAAACAACGAAGGTAACAGTAAGGAAGGAGGAAAGAGCCTTCTTAAAACAAAATTCTTAACTCTGGACATTTTTCCATATTGGTCTAACTTCAAGGCCTTTGGCAACTTCCTGAAATAGATATATGTCTTGGCAGGGAAGTAATGGCTTCTTGGTGTCTGTCAGTAGTGGAAAAGATAAGCATTCTATTGTAAGATGAAAAAGTTATGGAGCTGTTTCCCTCTGTAGATGTAGATTTCCTAAGATAACTATTTCTTTACAGACCCTCTTCAAAGACCCTCTTCAAAGATAGTGAGATAAAGGACTTTTTAGGAAATGTTTGTAAGAGAAGTTAACTAAGGAGAAAGAATAAATGCTGCCCTTGTTATTTGCACCTTCATATCTTGTCACTTCCTGACTCTCTGTCTCCTCAATCTGTATGCTGCTTTCAGCATCACTTTCTCTTTCACAACTGTTCTCCTACCCCACCTCCCAAATGCTCTGTAACTGTCTCGTCTGCTCACTCTTTATTCTCCCATCTACCTTGTGTCTTTATACCACTCAGTATTCTGTCCTTAGACCACTCCTCTTCTTCCATTAAGGAGTCTAATTTGATAACATCCCTTTCATCCAAAGCTGCAGCTAGCACCTCTATATTAATGTGTTCTAAAATTACATCTCTACCACTGCCTTACAACTTTCTAGTCCACATTGCATCATCGTTTGTCTCTCATACATCTCCATCTATCACCTTAGACACTCTCCCCTTTCTGGTTGGCTGTCTTCTAGTCTGTCCAAAACCTCCCAGCTGCTTAACATAATTGTCTCTTCTTGCTGCTCTGATCATATTAATGCCTCCTCCTCAAATTTGTTCACTGACTTTTCATCGTTACTGTACCTGATACTGTATCAAGCTCCTCCCCTTTGCCTTCAAACCCTCGCATTATCTCCTCTAATTCTGTACATTATGTTTGTTTTGTTACATTGTTGTTTTTCACCTTCACTTATTTCAAGGTTTTGGCAAAAAGGTAAATCTTGTACTATACTTTATAAATACTAATGGTAGCTCTCAATTTAATTTCCTCTGGTTGCTCAATCAATAGAATGCTAACCTCAGAATATTTTCTTCAGTTCTTGAGGACTTTGCCCTGGACATTTTTGCAATGTTGTCTCAGTGGGTCATAAAGACAGTAGCAGAGACTTCTGTAGCTTTTCCTCAACAAGCTTAAAGATCACAGTCTTGACTTGGCACTGGAAATTATTGGAGATAATGAGGGAAGAACAATATGACATGGTTTTAGCATTTTATTCTTGTTAAACAGATAGGCTGCTGCATGAATTGCAGGCATGAATACAAAGACTAAGGCAAGATTACACAACACGCAGGCCCCATTTAAATCAGTTCTGCTGATATTAATAAAATGCAATATTTACCTGATTTCCATCTATACGACAACACTTTTAATGATCAATGACAGTCCAGGAATTTAACTACTAAAATGCCTATCAACAGAAGACCGTTATATTGACTATTTTTTTGTTTTGGGTCCCACTCATGGGCCACGAGTTGAGCTCTGTGTAAATCCAAACCACACCACGGGCCTCAAACAAACAGGCTGCGGGCTGCATGTGGCCCACAGGCAGTGTGTTGAGTAGCCCTGAGTTAGAGAATATCTGCAAGGCAGGCAATCCACCTGCTCCCTAGACTGGAGCAGTACTATCAGATGCAGTTGCCACGAGTCTATGAGGAAGCAGAGTCCCTGAAGCTCCATGTTATGCTGGCAGGCGGGAATACAGGAATAGGAAGATGGGTATAGGACATTATTATCTGTGGCCAAGTAAACTGCAATAATGCCCTTTACAATCCTGCACAAAGAGTTGGCCACCAGACAGAAAATCTGCTTAGAAGCAGTTACAGAAAAGCATGTAAGGAAGAGGAGATGAGGTATATGCATAAAATACATCGAAGGCACATCTGATCAAAGTGCAAAATCTGACATTTTTCTAGTTGTGATGCTGCAAAGCATGGGATCAGCAATACTGGCAGGGCTGCAAAATGGTGGTTTTTCTATTAAGGGTAAATAAAATGAGGGTAAAATTTTAAGTTGAGGAATTTGTTGTTGCTAGAAGGCAAATTACTACATGCAGTCCTACAAAAGAACAAGGGTAAACAATACAATATGCTTTGAATTGTGAATGCATGTGCAGTAATGTCATGAATACATTAACTCTGTTCATTGTCAAGGCAAGTGACAGTGGCTGAGTGAAATCCAGAAAGGAACTAATGTCACTAGGAGCTCATGCAGCCACAGACACATCTCTGCTAACAAATGCGTCTATTCTGTTTACAGTTGACGTAGTGATCAAAAGGCCTTATTTTATTTTTATTTTTTCCCCCACAGAAAAGTACACTGAGCCACCTGTTCTGATTCAAGTCTCACCCTAGAACATGTGGATAATTAGACAAATCATCTGATCCATTACTAAGGAAATTACATTGTGTTTCTAATGTTCTGACGTCTATCTTCATCTCAGCCTATGTTTCCTGGTAGGAGCAATGAGTAAAACTTGTGCATGAAAGTTAACTTTATTTTTGAACTGGACAAAAATGAAGAGGAGCAAATAATAAAATTAATGTGAGATCAGAAGATAAAAGGTGTTGCACAGAAGTGCAAACTATATAGCAAATGTTAATGAAAGCCAGGGAAAGTGAAGCAGAGAGGACTTGAATGACATTTCTAAAGTCACACACAATTCTGGGGCAGAGGTGGGATTATAGAATGTAGAACTCCTGGCCCTCAATTCTGTGCTTTAGCTGCCAGAAACTCCCTTGAAAGGCTAATCAATTTACATCCCGCTTTGATTACGGTAGGTCTGCATGTGACTTACTGTATTCGGAATGTTCCCAAGACAGGGAGGTAAACATTCCATTGTGTTGGATTTGAGCAAATAAAACCCTGGAAAACATTGCAATTGTCTATGAAAAGCTACAGAAGCAGACCATTAGGTCCAAATTAAAGCACAGACAAGATTCTTTAAATGATTGATCCTTCCCCATATAAAAAAGTCAGGCTGCCATCTAAAATTGACAGAATAAGAGAAATTATGTGCACTTTGATTAAGAAATATGCGCTAAATGATGGCTTTGAGAGTCAGTGGAGTACTGTGGGTAATGGGAGCGAGGGAAGACTGTCCCACTCAAGAAGAGGCAGAAAGAAGCATCCTGCCTGAATAAGATATAATGCGGTTTCAGTACTAACTGCATCTGTACAAACTGTGTTGAGTGTTTCTTCTTCATGCCAGCAATCCTGCAAGGGATAGAATATTGGTCCCAAACCAGTGCACAACCAGAAAAACGAATGCCTTTGTCAACACAATACACACTAGGGCTCAGGGAGTTGGAATATTATGGCTGCTGGAAAAATGAAGCCCTATGCTCCCCTCTGCCTCTCTCCAGCATACAGCTGACTATATAATTTGGTCTTAAAGGTTTTTCCCCCTTGTGACATGGGCACCTAGTAATGTTGTTACAGTTAAGTGTTTTTGAATATTCTCAGGATAAATATACCACATGCTCCCAGCTGTGATTCATTACTGGAACAGTGTGAGCCCAGGACAAATTTTTTAATGCTTTTTTTTGGAAGAAAAAAAATAAACGCCCATTTGTAGTAACATTTTCAGAAGTGTCCAAGCGATTTAGGACCCCAAGTTCAATTGTCTGGCCAAAATAAAATGAAAAGATCAGACGTCCTTGAATTTAACTCTGAGAACAGCCATTTCACTGCCAAATGGACTCAAGCATTGCTATTAATTCACAAGGTACACTGAGTATATCATGAAGTGTAGACAAATATCAAAATTAGTGTTATTAGCATGTTAATTTTAATAACCCTTTAACCTATTGATTAGCCAAACAGAAGGAAATAGCATCTTTTCATGCAGTTTGCTTTTAAAGTAATTGGATTCAAATGCACATCTGTAGCTATTAAACCAATGTTTTCAACCTTTCTTCTCCAACCCCCCCTCCCGCCCCCTCCCCAATTGTTCAACCTCCCATCTCCAGCGCTGGCATAGATGTAAGCCTTTATTTGTGAATATTCCGATAAGCACTTTGCCTCCAACTATATTGTTCAAGTACTGGCATCATTGTTACAGCTGTAATTGTTACTATCAAGACACAGTTCTTTGTAATTAGAAAGTCAAGATGGTATTCAGCAGTATGGCAGCACAGATTCTCATTTGTTAGGCTATTAGAAAAAAAATGTTTACAGAGAAAACAGTGTCATTGTTTAGTGCTCTTAATTGACCATCTGCCTGGTAAAGAAATGTCCAAAGAAGGATAAATAAGACTATAGTACACTTATTTATTTATTTTCTTTGTGCAAGGAGTAAATTACGAAAGGCAACCACAGAGACAAACGAGACAAGACATTGCTAAATCAGCCTGCAAGTGAAATCATGTCATGCATACATTAACTTTTATTTTGCACAGTGTCAAGGCCAGTGTTTGAATCCTCCTCAAAGTTTGTTGGGGAGAAAAAGAAGGCCAGATCTTGGTGGGCGCTGTGGAGTTGGCAGCATTCATCTTTTAACAAAGTCAAGCATATGCTGCTTTGAGTGCGGCATCTTTGCATGCTCAATGACGTGTTTAATGTCACCTTTCCCACTGTAAATCATCCCTGAGCAAATCCACAAGGGAGAGTGGAACTAGGAGTTAAGCAGGAGAGGAATAAAATTCATGAACATGTGGTTCTATCTCAGGGAGTTTGGTACTTATTGACAGGAGAGATTCACACCTGATGGGGCCGAGAGCTAATTTGTAGCCGAGTTGTTTTGCTTCTGTCTTAAAGAAATGCTTTTTCATATTTAATGTGCATTTCTTCTGTGTGTGTGTGTGTGTGTGTGCACGCGTGCGCGTGCATACATGCGTGAACACTGCTTTTCCAAAAGGAAATTCTTTTCTTGTTGCTTAGCAAAAATATATTTTTTAAAGTCTTGATCTGATCCAGAATTCTTTATTATGCCTATAAAAAATAAAGGAAGAGTGGTTGGTCTTCATGAGATTTACTTCAAAGGTATCACTACACAAGCACTTCTCTTAGGCACAGAACATTTGATCTGTTCAGGCAACATTTGTTTACCTTTTTAAAACGAAAAAAAAAAGAAGAATCAAGCTAAACCAATATGGTAAATGACCAAGATGATCTTTTATACTATTTATCTTCCAACATTTCAGGTAGAAATAATCCAGTCCATTTACATGTTGATTTATTACAGTATGGAAAAAATATTAGGGAAAAGCAACAGCAAAACTAATAAAAAACAAATTAAAAAGAAATAATACAAGTATTACATTAAAACACTCTAAATATTTTATGCCTGGTGAATACTCAGAGACTTTAAACTCTCAGTATTTTATCAATATGTTTCAGTTCACAAAGTAGTATATATTTCCTGGTACTTCTTAGTCTATGTTTCAGTTTTCCTCTCTGTAAAATGTCTATGTCAAAAGAGACAGCATGACAGGACCCTATACTATATGAACAAAGTAAAATCTAGACACTTAGGCTCTAAATTAATGCTGGGAAAGCCGAAAACTTAATAAGGGCATAGGCCATTCAAGTTCTGTCTGCAGGAGTAGCTAACCCAGTTTCACTATCAGTTGTAGCAAAAATCTGTCACTGACAGTTTTGCTTTACCAAGTGCTTCTTCCTTTCCTACATAAGTTGATGCTCACAAATGTGGCCCCTGTGTGGAAGTGCACTTGTTATGATTTATGATTAATTAGTAATATATTTTACTGGAATCCAATTAAAGTGGCAGTTAAGTTGCAATGTTCAGCGCAGGTCTGTGTGTGAGTTTGTGAGAAGAGAAAGGGACATTCTTTTACATTTTAAAGCACTTACCAGATGTTTTCATTATTATTTACATTTTTAGAGAAGTTAACATAGGGCGAAATCATTGCTGCTGCTGCTGCTGCTGCTGCACTGGCTACTGGGTAGGGCATCAGTCACCCCTGCACATCTGTGCAGCTGTACGTATGCTGGGGTATCTAATAATAGAGTGGCTCCTGTAAGGCTGACAGCCATGTGCTTACAGATGAACAACCATTCTAGTAGTGACAGTCTGACAATGACCAGAGTTACTGCGACAGACAGTGTGTCCATGCTAGATAACATTTAAGAAAACTAAGAATCAGTGAACAAGCAGACAATTTTTTAGCAGTCAGTTCCACAATGAAAAATGTACTCATGGTTCAGAGTGGATTTTCTTTCTGTTAAATCCCTCCTCAGTACATCTCTTTACTTTATTCCTTAGATGTATCTCTCTCAGGGTATGTCTACACTACAAAGTTAATTCGAACTAACGAATGTTAGTTCGAATTAACTTTGACAGGTGCTACACTAGCGCTCCACTAGTTCAAACTGAATTCGAACTAGCAGAGCACTTAGTTCGAACTAGGTAAACCTCATTGTACGAGGACTAAGCCTAGTTCGAACTTACTAGTTCGAATTAAGGGGTGGGTAGCCCCTTAATTCGAACTAGTGGGAGGCTAGCCCTCCCCAGCTTTCCCTGGTGGCCACTCTGGCCAACACCAGGGAAACTCTATTGCCCCCCTCCCAGCCCCGGACCCCTTAAAGGGGCACGGGCTGGCTACAGTGCCCGTGCCAGGTGCAAGCCTGCCAGCACCCA